CAGCTCATTTAATTGCATTTTAGCAGTGATGTGAATCCCCTGCATCACAAATATCACTGAAACAAATACCAAAAAATATATTGAGTAATTTTGCAGATTTGACAGACTTTCCCTTTTAGATTAAAAAAGTAAACAAGGTAGTCACAGGAAGTGCAATAACCATGAAAACTCAAATTATAATCTTTTAAAAAATGTTCATGTACCCAGGTCTCCAGTAATGATGTGTTGCTATGCAAATTTGGCTTCTGGCTGTGGTGTTTGTGCTGGAAATAATTATTCCTATAATTGTATAGTGGTTTTCCTTTTCAAAATGCTTTCAATACACACTTTAGTTGAATCGTAGAACTGCCCTGTGTAGTTTTAAGGCAAGCATATGATGGATAATGGAGATATTTGAAATGTTATTGACAGAAATTGATTTTAAGAAACGATTGCTGTTTGTAACAAAATTAAGACTACACTCCAGATCATGCATACCTCCTTTAGTGCATCAGTATTTAAAGGTGAGGTGTGTTGTTTTTCCATCTAAAAACAAAAGCAAAGATGCTGACACTTGCATCATCTCTTGCCCAAAAGACTTTTGTGAAGATTCCTAGACTAAGAAATTTTAACTCTCACAGAGCCTGAGGGAAATCATTCTGGTTTTGGTTTAGGGCTGGGATCCAGAGAAGTGGGATCCCAACTCAGCAGCTCTTCCTTCTCCTGTCTACACTGAAAGAGATGGAAATAAAAGCTATTTCTTACCATGTTTACTTGGTATAGTAGGTAATGGCTGCATTCCTAGTGCATTTTAGTGAATACTCATTCCCTTTCTAACAAGAAAATAAATGAGTTTCAGTGCCTGATGTTTTTATCATCATTTGCCAATCTGAGCTGAAATACTGAAGGGCTCTGTTTAAAGGTTAGTATTTTATCAGGGAGCAATATTCATGTTGACACTGACAATGTTGATGGTACATTTAGTAGTTAAAAGGCTCTGTGACAGGCTATTACCATACATAATTGTATGTATTCCTTTCCACAAGCCCATGAATAGACTCCTGCATGATACCTGAATCAACTGATTCTTTAATGCATCCAGTAACCTGTTCGAGGTAAGAGGGCTAGTTAGAGTTGAGAGGCAATACCCAGTGTTCTGATTGGAAAATCTCATAATATTATAATGTTGATTTGAAAACCATTGTTATTTTTCATCAGTTAGTTATTTGTTTTTTTTTATCAGCTTTAGGATCTTAGCATGTTCCTCAGAGAATGGGACATGAGCAATTGCACTCTACTGTCAAGTTAAAGCAGGAAGGATCAGAATGATAACTGTTTGGATGTGGATTGTGGAATTCCAGGATATGGGCAAGTCAGAAGTTGGGGATGGGGCAAGAATGTGAAGAAAAGTAAGAGTAAAGAAATGAGGGTCAATTCCACTGAAGAGCTCTGTTTGCTAATCAACTAAATAATGTGTCCACAGTCCACCCAGTCTATTCTAAAGCCTTTTTTTTTTAAAAGTCCCAGACAACATTAGGTCCCTGAGCTCCCAAGGTCTTTGTCCCTACTATTGTTTTCTGCAGTCACCTGGGAACTGGAAGGGAATAATTCCAGTTTTTGGTTTTGCAAAACCCTGACCAACTGTGCAAGTAAAAATGATGCTGATAATGAAATGGGTTCCAGGGATTGGGGAGATAGATTAGCAAAGTTTGACATCAGTTCCAGACCACAAACTGTTCTATCCTGAGGTGGACCATGACAAAACCCTCAGTACTGACAGTCTACTGGTGACTGCAGCTTAGTACTCAGCTTGAAGCTTAGAATATCTGCTTTGCACAGCCTGAGTAACTCTTTGAATGCTGACTGTGGATTGTGAAGGCCTCTGTTTATTCTTCAGTGAGATATCTAATGAAAATTGTGCCATTCCTGTACTGAGAGGGGCCTCTGGAAGCTGTGTGGATCAACAATCACAGTATTAAGAAAAAACACCTATTTATAATTATATGAAGCATTTACTTATCCTTGCAGAGTAGTGGCAGATTTGGAGCACGGTGATGGAATGAGTAAGCCAATCTTTCTCCTCAAGGACTTTCATTCTCCTCAGAAAGGATCTATACATAGGAATAGGGCAGAAAACCATACTAAACAATAAAACAAAACGTTGAACAATGTGGCATTGTGCATTGAGTGCAATTGTTGTTGAGAACTAGAATAGATGATGTGGGCAGCATTTTTTGAGGAAGGACGATGCCAAATGGAGAGGCATCCTGACTAGGCAGGAAGGATCTGGTGAATGCTGATACTTCTTTTAGGAAGGACCAGCAAGAGTAAATCTGAAGAGTAGGAAATGGATTGTGGGGCTATGAGTTTGTACAAGCCATGAATGCTAGGGAAGGAGGGCAGTGGGTAAAATTACTTAAATTGAGCTCATCATTTTTCAAACTAATCACTTAAAAGATCTTCCCTAAAGAAAACAAACACCAAGTGGGCGACATTTTTCATGTTTCTGTTGTCTTAGCTAAGATTTCAGCTCTCCATGCCCTTTCCTAGGTATCCTGCCCTGGCCTAATTCTGATGTTTGAGAGAATTTTCCTCAGCTCTCAGTCAGGCTCTATACATAATAAATCAGTGTGAGTGTGTGTGAGTGTGTGTGTGAGTGTGTGTGTGTGTGTGTGCACATGCACACACACACACACACACACATAGTTATAGGTATGGGAAATGAGAGACCAAGGCAATTCTGTAAATCCAAAAGAATAAAACCAAGCCCTGCCAGTGTGGCTCAGTGGTTGAGTGTTGACCTATGAACCAAGAAGTCACAGTTCGATTCCTGTCAGCATATGCCTGAGTTATGGGCTCAATCCCCAGTGTGGAGCATGCAGGAGGCAGACGATCAATGATTCTCCCTCTTCACTGATGTTTCTCTCTCTCTCTCTCCCTCTTCTTTCCTCTCTGAAATCAATAAAAATATATTTTAAAAATGAGAGTAATACCTATATGTTGAATTACAAATAGCCTAAAAAAGAAGCATTTGCAGTTTGCACATTGGGAATATTTTA